AGGAATGCGGGGATTTATTCTTCAGGGCCCACCGTATCCGCGAGTGCTACAGCCCAAACGCTGCACGGACAGAGCATGTGCTTGATAAGAACCCAGGAACAGATGCCAGCGGATTTAATGTGGGACAGGAGGCCCATTGCAGGTTTGCAGACTGCTGGCAGGGTCAGCTGTAAATATTCCCTCACAATCAAAGGCATTCATCTAAGGATTACATGCTGGGGGCTTTGTGGTAAAGTAAATTTGCAACTAACAGGACCATTAATAGTCAGACAGTTTAGCTGGCTCTCTGACTGCCATTTATTTTCCCCCCTAGTCATTTTTACTACATCTAAATACCATGGGGATGTGGGACTTGAATGATGTGGCCTAAGAAATCAGCTTAGAAGTAGGAGAAGGGGTTACCTCCAACAAAGACAGCTCAACGGGGATCGACCGTGGATATCAATAGTGGGTAATGCCACTGAAGCATGTGAGCTGATTTCATAACCTGCTGGAGATTAGCCCCTTCTGTAAGAGAGCAAAGCTATCGAGGGATGTGAAGTATGGGTCCTAGGTTCATAGAGGGGCTGTGTTTGAAAGGCTGAGGAGGGGAGGAGAGACTTTGCGGGGTTAGGAACAACAGCGAAACAAACACACCGCGGCCTGTTTTCCCCCCCAGTTCGATGCTCACAGAGCAAAAATATCCAGGGCAGAAACTGTGCCACGAAAGTAGTCTCTCCCCTCTCTGCAGTAAGCGCAAAGTATCAAATAATTGGTGGCGCGATGGGGACGTACGACAAACCAAGCGGTCCTGGGCTTGAGCAGGCGCAGGGTGATGCCAGGATTAACCTGGGATGTTGTTTCACTGCAGAGCTGCCTCTCCAGGACTGCAGACTCCTTGGGGTGCAGCCAACTCTGCACACCATCCGATGGGAGGGTCCTCCCACGGCCTTCGCCCCAGCTCAGCGCACACTGAGGTCGCTGCCGTCTGAACAGCCCTTCTCTCTCTCGGTTTGTTCTCCGGCCCCGTCTCTACCCCTCCTCCCCCATCGTCTCAGAAACAAATTAGGCAGAAGGAGCCAAGAGGGAAACTAACACCAATCCCATTAAATTCTACTGCCTGGGCTGCGTTTTGTAATTGAAAAGAAAAACTGTTTTATAACTTAAAAAAAAAAAAGAGCACAATTCCTCTCTCTCCCCTCCTCCTCCTCCTTCTCTCCTGCAAATCCTACTCCCTCTTTCATTGGAGAAAAGGAATGAAAATAGAGAAAAAACAGGCAGGAAGAATGGAGGGTGTGTAAAACACTCTCAGGTTTCAATATGTGGAATTAAAAATTTGCAGAATAGCGATAATCACTCCCTGACACTGCAGAGCTGACCTAAAGCGATGAAATCGATCTTTGACTCGTGCAAAGGAGCAATCCTTAATAGGAGCATCTTTGACTCTCACTGTGCCTTTGCTTTCAGTAACAAGCACCCCACGACCCCAAAAGCCACAATTCTTCCCCATCAGGAGGGCTCACTCGGGCCAAGTTCTCCATTTGTGCCTTGCTAGCGATGTGGATGCGACGGGATGCAACCTTAGCCGTGGGATACTGCGCAAATCCATCCTGCAGCCACTCACCGAGACAGCAGCACCCTGTCCCGGGCAGCAAAACACTCTCTCTGCTGCTCTTTCCACAGCGGGTCATCCCTGGGAGAATGCGGGATGCGATGTCGGCAGCGCTGTTTGTGCACTGTGATGCTTTTTATTATCCTTGTGATCTCCAGAGCCGCTCACGCCAGAATTACTCTACCTCTGCAGGTCTTTAAAGAGGCTGTGTGAAGCTGAAGGCCTTTCCCTTTTCCCTTAATGCTCAGCTCTTCAAAGGTGCAGCTCATTTACACTTCTTGCTGTAATTTCTGCAAGGAAAGGAGATGGCAGTATGCTAATTTTAAAGACAGGGAAATAGAAGCATTAAAGACAATTACTTTGCAGAAGGCTCCCAATTTCAGTTTCCTTCTGCCCAGCTCCTGCAAGAGATATTGTCTCTAACCCAGTCTGAGATGTTCTGCTCATATGGATGCGGCATTGAAAGGGTCTCTTTGCTGGATGCACAGGCATGGAAGCCTCTCAAATTAATTGCTGCTAACGAAAAACCTGTCTAATCCTTCCCCGAGATCATCAGCAGTCTCCAGACCTTTAAATATTTTGGCATATTCATTTACACATCATACTGATTTTAGCTTTTTGCTACAAAGAAAGAGGCTTAGGTCCTCTCGCGTCCTTTCTGCCTCCGCTCTGACTCACCACGTCTGGTGCTGAAGAAGAAACCGGCCTCAGCCACCCAGCACCCACCTGCAAAGAGCTTGTGACTGCAGCTGAGTGGGAACATTTTTCTATTTCGTATAAAAACGCTTGCAATTTCAGAAACGTTCCTGTTCTCCTCTTGGACTGAGCTGAGATCCTTAGGAAATCACAGTGGGGATGGAGAGTAGGAGAGCCCGAAAGACGCGTCCAAGAACTGCCGTTATCTCCCCGGGCATTGCCCCGCTCGCACCAGCTGCTGGGATAAAGCTTCCAGAGCTCCTACAACTGCTGTAAATACTGAGCTTCCAGCTCTTTTAAGGCGGATTATTATTCATTTTACCCTGGTTTATTACTTATTACAATATCCAGAAATTCCATCTGGGAGCCATGAAATCTTTCCCAGCGAAAAACTAATCAAAACTAGGAATTTCTCCTTAAAATTATTTCACTTAACGAACTGTTATTCTCCCAGCATCTCTGGGTGGGAGCCTTCTTTCTCCCGGGCCATTAGGGTTACGGAGAGGTCAGTGCAGAGCCGCACTCCCTGCATTGATACGATGCCCATCATGACAGTTCCAGCGCATCTCCCCGCACGATCGTCAGCTCTTGGCCGAAGCAGCCAGGGATTATTTGGATGCGCTTCTTCCTCGCTGTTGCTAAGCTATCCTCACTGCTACTGTCATTCTTGGAAGCCAGAGGCGAAGAGCAGGACCTCCCCGGAGCCTGGCGTTGCACAGACAAAAGGAGGGCACGTCCCCACCCGGCGCAGCTTTACAATGCCGACAGGCAACAGCTGAATGCAAAGGCATGGGAGGAAGAATGAGAAGATGTCGCAGCGGCCGACGGTCTGGCAGGGGTTTGTTGGCACCAGGGATTTTTTTTTTAAATGATGAAGCATTTGGTGATGAGCCTTGGCTGATTCACTTCCTGCAGGAGTAAGTCCGGTCGTGGACTAGCAGCTGAGAAACCTCCGTCCTTTTCTTTTCAGGCCGCTGCTGTCAGGATGCTGTGCCTCGAGAGGGACCACGCAGCTGCGAGAGAGGCTGTGTCCCCAGGACGCTCCATGCAAACCCACGCTCCCTGGGGAGAAGCAGTTAGCGTCATCTCCAGCCTCCTGAAGCAGGAGGTGCTCGAATACCTCCCGGGACACGTATTCATTCTGCAGGGTCCGAAATGAAGAGGCTCTGGAAACGATACCCAAGAGGAGAAGAGCAGCGGTCCCAGCCACAACCTGCTGCTTGCACGGAGCTATGAGAAAATCTTTTAGAAACAGAACAGAAGAGAGTAGAATAGAGTAGAGTAGAATAGAATAGGAATAGAGTAGAATAGAACAGGGATAGAGTAGAACAGGAATAGAATAGAATAGAATAGAATAGAATAGAATATTTCAGTTGGAAGGGAGCTACAACGATCATCTCATCCAGCTGCTAACCCAGGTGGAGTCAGGAGGTGGCTGGCTTGAGCAAGGCTCATAGGGACACGGGGTACAAACCCAGCACTTTGGGAAAGCGCTGCTGGAAAGTCATATTAATGCTCTCCATCAGTATCTACTAGTGAGGGCTAAAGCCATGGGCATACCTGATTTCCCATTATTTCCCTTGCTGGTGACTGGTTTTAGGCCTCCAGCTTTTCCTCCTCTGCCTGTACCTTTTTCTTGCCTTCTCCCCTGTCATTTTTATGCACCACAGACCCTGGTGTCCTCTCCTTGCTTTCTGCTGTGAGTTTGGAGGGAAAGCGAAGGAGCCACAGAAGGGGAAGAAAATTCTATTACAGAATCATGGAACGGTTTGGGTGGGAAGGGACCTTTGAGGGCCATCTAGTCCAACCCCCCTGCCATGAGCAGGGA